CAACACCCCCAGGTCCTTTTCCGCCAGGCAGCTTTCCAGCCACTCTTCCCCAAGCCTGTAGCACTGCATGGGGTTGTTGTGGCCGAAGTGCAGGACCCGGCACTTGGCCTTGTTGAATCTCATACAGTTGGCCTGGGCCCATCGATCCAGCCTGTCCAGGTCCCTCTGCAGAGCCTTCCTACCCTCGAGCAGATCAACGCTCCCGCCCAACTTGGTGTCGTCTGCAAACTTACTAAGGGTGGACTTGATCCCCTTGTCCAGATAATTTACCTTTTTTGACACTACACTGGCCCTTCTTAAAGCCAATTTAACCTGTTCTGAAAGAACTGTGTGTTACTGGGGGGAGGGCAGGCTTTGGATTGTGCATCTTGGCAAACTAAACAAGTTGTAGGGTTGCTTAGTTGAAAATGTAAATCCTTTCTCTCTTGCCCAAGCTGGAAGAGTTAGAGGAGATGACTTATTTCAGTGAGTGATTTAGGGAAGTGATGTTAATCTTTACAGAATGAGTTTTGTCCTGCTTTCCCGAGACAGAAGGAGAACTGTGGTGATGTGTGGATCTAAAGTAAGAAACAAGTGCAGTGTTTTTCAGACGTAGGGGTACCAGAAGTCGTTAGTCCATACAGCTGGGTAATTGTAAAGCTTTATTTCCTTTTTCATCTTTTTGGTTTGGTTTTTAGTTTGTTTTACTTGCATGAAAAATACTTTAGTATATGTAGTCTATTTTGAAGTTGTTTAAAAACTTAGAAACAGGTGTGACATGGGAGATATTTGACTGCTTACAAAGTCTCCTATTCTGTTCAGAGTAAGAATGAAAAAGGGTAGCTGTAGTTTAGGAAACTAATTTTTTTGTTCATGGTTTCAGGTCTCTTCTAAATAGCAGTCAGCATAAAAAATGTTCTTACTCTGGGCTTATCTCAGTGTCTTATTCTTGGTGTTTATTCATACTCTTTTTGAGGCTTCTTTCTGGTATCTTCTACCTGCTATGGCATTTTTCACATTTTTGTGTCCCAGAAAGAGGGATATCTTTTCTGTTGAAGAACACCTCATGACCACTCACAGAGTTCAGACCATTAGCATCTCACGTGCACGTGGGTTTTGGTTTGGGGCTGTCACCATATTATTTTTTTTTCCTGTTTGCATGAAACTAACCTAAATCATAAAGCACTGGCTGTGTTCATTGTGCTTTAAAATGGCTGTCTCAGAAAATCTTCCCCTCCTGGAACATACCCAACAGCTACCATCCATTGGGTTGTGTTGATTGCAACTATAGCAAAGGCAGTCCCCCTGGTTGCTTGATGAACTAGTGAGTTAAATAATTGTGTTTTAAATAATGGGATGCTAGCAGACGTCTGATACAGACTCTAGCATCTAGTCATCATATAACTAACATGCTGTGCCGTCTTGAACAGATTGGTTTGGAGAGTAGGTCTGTGTAGATCAGGAAAAGAGGTCTGGTTAGTAACATCTCTTTCTTGATGTAACTGCCATTTGCTTTCATCTTCTTTAATTTTTTATTACTATAGTCTGTTTCACTTTAAGTGGATGAAGCCAGCTGTGCACTTACCCTCATTAAAGCATAGGGTAAGGGACAGTCAGATGGTGTTAGTTGAGTCTATAAATGTGCACTTGAGCTTCTTTTGCATTCAGGGACAATATGGAGAAAGGAGATTGAGGTGTTTATTGAATCTTAGCAAGGGAACATTCTTAAGGCAATGAATGTTGCCTACTTTTGTTTGCCTGAGGGCAGGATCTGGAGTTATTAAACAGACTTTAATTCCTTATTACAAACACGTGGATATATAATGCATGAATGTGCTTGCCTTCTAGTGGGTGGGGAGAGGCCATACATAGGAACTTTCTACCTCTTTGCAAGCCAGATCATGATAAAGAGGAACCCATTCCACTGGCAACATACAGTCTTTCAGTGCTGGCTGTGTACCTTGGGTGGTGTTAGAGTAACAAAGCACAGGCTTGATATGCTGAGTTAATTCTCCATTCAAAAGAGTAGCTTAAGAAGGTTGAAGTGTTTTCATGTGTTGTTGGGTATGACTGAACTGTTGATTGTCTGTATTTTATTTTTGTCTAACAGATTTTTTGTGCGTGTTTCCCCCCCTGCCCCACAACAGAGGGTTGATGTCATGTCATTATGTGATTATCTAGGAAAAGTATTTTGTGGACTTCATAAATTTTACATTGCCCTCTATTTTTTATTTTCATGTCATTTATTTTCTTGAATATTCTTTCTCATTACAGACATCTTTAAAAGACTTTTATTCCTAGGGGATGTGTATTTCTAACATAAGTAACTTCCATTTCTTACTTGCTCTCTGTGGTTTATGGGTGGACCTAGTAAGACCTGGATCTTTTTGATAGCTGCCACCAAGTTGCTGCTGATACATTCAGTTCTGATAGAAACCAGTGACTGTGATCTGATTGCAAATTCAGATTTTATAATGCAGATATTTATACAATTCAATAAAAAGAGCTTTAATATAAGGAATATAAATAATGTTGACTCTGACATGTAGCGAGAAACAAATTTTAGCATTTAAAAAGATGAACCTGCTAGCACAGGCAGTCTTAGCAAGACCAATGGTTCTCATTGCAGTGTTTTTTGCTGGTCTGAGGTAGGAGTTTGTGAGGTGTATTTTGATTATGCTGCAGATCTTCTGCAGAGAGACCTTTCATTTTGGTCTCAAGCGTTACAGAAAAGTCCTCCCCTTCAAATTGCCACGCAGACAAAAACATGTTGTTTCAAGCCAAAATACAAACCACTGAGATTTGTGTCACTCTTGCACTGGGAGGCTGGAGACCACTGATAGCTGTTTGCTAAAGGGCAGCTGGGTGCTAATGGGCTGGCACCCTGCTCCATTCGCACCGGTCCAGGCGCTTCGTTGTGGTGACACTGTGGCATGTGCCTATTCTGCCAGGATGGTATGGTGCACCAACTGCTTGAAGAGTGTCTCTGCTTCCCTCCCAGATGAAGCCTTGCAGAACTCTTCCTCTCAAAATGCAGATCATAAAATTGTGTCAGTAAATACTGGGGTGGCATGAAGTTTCGATTACTGCTGTTTTTTGAGACTTGTTTGGATTTATTCTTTTGAAAACGAAACTCCATTCTCCTTCGTTTCTTCAGTTACAAAAGTCAGTTTAAAATGTGTGAGAAGAGGTGATCTCCAGCATTTTCATGTCTATTGAGGTTTTGTGTCACTACTGTAAAACATGATCAGGACCTCCATGTTAATAACCTGTTTGTAAAGCAAGGTACAGCTTATAGAGTTAGTATGTTTTAGGCTAATTGAGTTTCACATTTGATAGGAAATTTTAGCAGAAACTGAAGTGCAGTGGTGGAGGGAGGGAAGGCGGAAGTCTTTCCCAGGTGGACTTACAGAATTGTCTCTAATGTGGTGTAAGTAGGCATACTCTATCAAGAGATGTTACATTTTCTGTAACGATCCTTGAAATATCCTCAAGGATTTTCCTGCAAATTCCTTTTTATAGACAAAAGTACATGCTTGGAGTTTGGCAAGGTAGTTGCTTTCTTCTGAATGTAGTGAAGGGATAGATTTGTTTATTACTGCTGCAAAACTCAATTGTATATTCTGTTGATGCTTGTAATAAACAGTGATTGCAAATGTAGTCTCTTGTTACCTCTTTTGTGTTGTTAGAATTACTGTAAGCCATTTTAATTAGAACAGAGAAGAAAAACAAGGTGCTGATTCAAGTGTCTGCTTTCAGATGTGGTGTCTGATATTTTTCTGGCAGGATCCTGGAGGAAGGAAGTGCTTTATAGTCAGTCATTGATAGCTTACTGTGACACATGTTTAATTTAGTTATGATTTCGTTTGGATACTTGGAATCCAGAATCATGAGTACTTCTCTTCTTGCTATTGTTCCAGTTTAGAAATCCTAATTTTACACTGTGTTTTTATCCTTTCTCCAGTATTTTTTTTTGTTTATGCATGCATTTTATTTGTATTATCACAAGATGATTTTCTGAAATTGCTACAAACTTCTCTTTTTATGCAAAGTATTGTTGTGCACACTCCCAGAATATCCTTACTTCCCATAAATCTGTGTTTCCGCTTTTACAACACTCTTCTGAAAAGCACATCCTAGTGTGATACACTGACAAAAATAAAAATCTGGATACAGCCCATATTTAAAAAGAAAATGAGCTAGAAACATATTGTTGTATTTGTCCTTTCGCAGCTAGAGAGACTTTCATGTACAAAAGGACGTGTATGTTGTGAGCACCTGTGATGCTATAGTTTGCTTAAAATGTATCCAGCAGAAAGTACTTTTAAATTGTAAATAAAAGACATTGGGTTTTGTTACTGACACAGAGGGAACTAGCTGGCAATTACTATCATTGTGTGCCAGATCTGTCATAAGACTTTCTACTGAAAAGTGGCTCAGAGGTTGCTAAAATTGTGTCATTTGACATCTCTGGCTCAGAATCCACATTTCATGAAATCTTCATCTGTTACTTGTTGCACAAAGCATCAAAGAACATCGACATGAAAGAACTGGGTATTGCTTTGAGATTTTCCTTTTGTCTGCTTCTTTCCTGTGATAATGTTCAGGATTCACTGAACCTTTGTAATGGGAAAATGGACAAAATGGTAGACAAGCTTCTGTTTAAGTTGGGCTTGATTTGGTGCTGTTCCAGACCGTTGACATTACCAGAATAGTCATGTTAACTAGAAATCATGACTTAGTAGGATAAACAAACTATATTGTTCTAAGTGGAGCAATGTAGACTATGAAAAACATTTCTAAAAAGTATTCAAAAGACTGAACTAGGTTGTAATAAGCTTTTGCTTAACGTGTCTTGTCAACTGTAGCATGTACAGTGGTAGTACCCAATAATTACTAAAACCATTATTGTATTTAGAAAATCCAACACTCAAAAGTTCAGAATTTTTTATGACTGAAGTCAGAACTGCCTCTAATCCTGTTCTTGGTTGCAGCATTTTGCTGTGTCTCTACTTTTCTTCTTATCCTGCACTGCACAGTTTCATTTACCTTTCCCTCCTATAGCAAACACCTTTCCCTCCTGTAAGAAATGAAGAAGTCCTGCAGACATCTCCTTTATTGCACAGTCCTGTTGCATCAATACTTACCATGGTTGAGCATTGGAGCCCTTAGATGCAGCCCGCTGACCTCTTGGCAAAGTGATAAGTAGCTGAAAATAAAGTTCACCATGGGAAGTCTCAATCAACCTAGATTTGGTGCACTGAACTCTTCATAACGTGTTTCAAAAATTATACTAAGCCAGCAATTTGCTGGCAGTCTAGATTAAATATAACTTAAAGCAAATTTAAAATATATGTGACTTTTTTTGTCTAGGGGAGAAGCTAGTATTAAAGTTTTTTGTGTTTGGGGTTTTTGGGTTTGGTGGGGTTTTTTGGTTGTTCTTTGTTTTTGTAAATAATCACCAGTTAGAGAGAAAGTTGGCTGGGTGGGGTAAAAATGCAGTTAACCAAATAAAGGTATTTAGTCTTGCTTTGTATTAGCAACAAAGCTTGTAATCCCTGATTTATCTTTTTTTTTTTTTTCCTTGAAGAAACCCTTAGTTGCCATGTAGTAGGTACTGCGAATTTGACATAAAGAAGATTAATGTTACCTTAGAAGAGTCGTTATTAGCTCTTGGCCTAGTGCATTTTGAAATGCAGTTTGTGTGTACTGTTTATGACACAAGGTAATAATAGCAGAATAATCCAAGCATTTAATTATGTATATTCATGATACGTAAAATTGAGATATTTTAAAAATACAGAATAACTGATATTTTGAGAAGGTAAAATGGAAAATCTACATGAAACAATGACAGCTTACAATTCTAACTATAGATCCTTATGAAACTGGTGTTTTATTCAATGTTGCCAATGAAGTTTTTGAATGTAAAATTGAAACAGTAGCCAGCAAAACACTTAGTAGGTGTTTAATTTTACATATGTGAGTAATCCTGGGTATTTCAATTGGGCAATTCATCTGTCTAAAATTAGCTAGGTGTTGAAGTACTTTGCTGGTTCAAGGATTGGGTAAGTCAAAGAAAAAGCTGTGTACATTTAGGCAGCAAGTTAGGAAGAAGCTTTACACATATGAGAAATATTCATTCCCTGGCAACGAAGAGAAGTTTAAAAGGACATCTTTCATTAAAGGAAAAAAAAATCTCAACTAAAACTCATGAAAATAGAAAGTTAAGTTACTTCCTTGAGGTAATTTTTAAAATATCACCATAACAGCTTAGTGCAAAATCAAGAGTACACTAAAGAATTCCGCCCCCCCCGCCTCCGCATTATATGATGGCATAACATGTTCCTCATAAGTGTGAACATGATGGGAAGCACAAAATTACTTTGTTGGACATAAATGAATGAGCAGTCATACAGTAATATACAAAGGTATTCCACTTTTTGACTCACTTAACTATTAACTTCTCTCAAAGTCTTGGTTCAGAGATACATGAAGCCGTGTTCCTTTGCATTTTTAATTAATATGCTCCATTATTGTTGCATTTCATCAGTGACTTTTTAAAATTTCATTTTACAGTCATAATAACTGCACTAACCAGAGACCTAGTTCCATGGGATACCCTCTTTTTCCTTTTCCTTTTTTTTCCTTAAAAAGTAATAAAGTGCCTCTTATTTGCTGGAAATCACCTAGAGTACAATCTATTTAGTATGTTAAGTGCAGGGGAATTAGGAGAGAATGTAGCCAAACTTTCTTGGCAGTAAAAGTCTGGATAGTCACGTTCTGCTTTGAAGCAAGTTTCTTCTTCTTACTCAATTGCAAAATTACCATGTAAATTTAAGAATTGTGATTGCAGGACAGGATATCTGATCTGATGCTGTACTTTCTGAGAGCAGAGGTTAAGGGAGCCAACGCAGTTGACGGTCCTTAGTATCTCAAGCTTAAGTGGCGATGCCTCCTGAATCCCTACTAGTTACCCTGGTGGAACTCAGAACTGCTTGAATGGTGCAGAGGAGTGCAAAGGGAAAGACTAGGTTACAATGAAATGACTCTCCCATTCTCGGCAACCGTATACCTCAGTCTTGTTTTTATGACATTGTTAAAAATAAGTGTAATACGAAAATCTACAGTGGGCAGTGCTTAAAGACAGGGTTGCAAACAAATGTTCTGTTTGTTCTTTAGTGAATTAGTCTTAAAACCTCAGTCTGAAGCAAGGCTGTCACCTTGGAATGTATTTAAAGTGTTTCCTGTGCAATTACATAGCGGAGTTGTTTTGTGATCCTAATTCACGGGTATGGAGTTTCATGGTTATGGTGTTTCATTTTCCTAGCTACAGGTTTTTTTTATAGTACGTGTATTTTTTATAACAGTATAGTGTATGGCAGCCATCTGCAGCTCAGACTTGTACTGACTAGGGTATATTTTTAATGGTACTATCCTATTTAAAAATTGTTAGAATTCTCTGTTTATGATATATACAGTGTGTCTGCAATTTAAACCACTAGATACTCAAGGATTCTATGTAATGACTGTCCCTCACTGAGGGCGTACTGTATGTTTGATAATAGCAGCACAGGTAGAGGTCAGAAATTTCCAGCTGCAAACTTTTTAGGTGCGAGTTGTTAGCAAGACAGAAGTCCATTATTTTAAATAATGAAAAGGGAGGATATGGCAGATTTTGCTCCCTCTTAAATTAAGCTAGCGTTTCTTCTGGAATGAGACAGAGCAGTGTTTTGCGGAGGTGGGCATCCATAGGTACAGCAGCTTGCAGAGAAGAGACTTTGAGGAAGGACAGGGAGTAAGGGAGTGCAGAGAGAACGCTGCTGTGTGTGAATCATTACTAATCTTTGTGTCTCTTGTTCAATCGTTTTAGAACTCATAGATATCACGTGTACCCTGCTGCTACCCGACTTCACCACTGCTTGGAACGTGAGGTATGTTGCACTCAGCGAATGACATCAGAAATACCTGGGCCTTACGTATGAGTCAGCTGTAAGCTTTTGTTTTAAGTGGTAATTAGTGACACAGCAAGAGCTTTTCAGCTAAGGAGTGCTGGAGGAATGTTAAAAATCTCTTGTGTCCTGTATGCCTTGCAGATAGTTTCAGGCTACTTTTGTTTCCTGTCTTCCCCCCCCTGCCCCCCCTATAGTGCAGGCTAAAGGTTACACTGCTGTATGTGAAGGCACATGTTTGGCCCACATTTTTGGGGGATGTAAGTCCCATTGAACTGCCACTCATCCTTCCTTCTGTCAGTTAAGGAAGGCCGTTTGTAACCTTTAGATTGGCATATCCTTTTCGCTGAATCACATAGTGCCCAACTGACGTCTGCTGTCTGTCTTCCATATTTTCATTTTACGCCTCTTTGAATATTATACCTGAGTCCTTTTGCAATAACATTTCAATTTGCTGCCATTACCAGTGCAGCTCGTCAAAGCTGAATAGCCCTCAATAGATACACTGCAAGAGAAGGGGAGGAAGGCGGCTGTCCTTTATTCTGGACGTGTTCTTCCCCACCTTGCTCCTTTCTTGTACCCGTTGGGATTAGTCTAGCTTTGCTGTTGGTCACGCTGCAGCACCTGTCCAGGAGTCATTATGGAGGAGGAGCAGGAATTTACCTCCTTGCTCTTAATGGAGTGCAGAAGCAACAGTTCTTTGCAACCCTGTAATCTGGTAATTTTTGTGTAAATCTCAGAGCTGGGGGAATATTCTCTTTCTGCTGCCTAGGTAATACTGGAGACAATCTTAAAGGAATAGTTTTAGAAGGGGTGGAGAGCTGACAGAAAATTCTATGTTAGCATCTAGGAGGACTCTCATTAAAAATACGACTTTTGTAGTTAAGATGCATTATTGCAGTAGGAAAAATTAACAAAATGACCGAGAAAAATGATGGCTGCAGGTAGCTGTTAGTCCTAGATATGGCAAGTTCAGCTTTTTTTTTTCTTCTTCTTTCATTGCTGGTGTAGTTCTGAAGGATTCTGCTGTGATCTGTATCTTTCTAGCATCTCAGGTCTAAGAAAGGGGGATGAAAGTGATAGCAAAGGGCTTACTGTCATGAAAATGTGTATCTTGAGTAGCTTTCAAGTGACAGAATGGAATCAGGAGCATGTATAAGTACTAGAGCTACTACAGTAATGTAATCTTGTGGTACTTAAAGCTGAATTCAGGTTTTTGTTTTAGGTTTTGTGGATTATTTTTTAATGCAAATGCATCCATCCTTATCAGTCTGGCTTTTTTTCTGCCTGACAACTGGAAGAGTTTGCTCTTATGTACATGAGAGGAGTAGTTCAAAGTTGTAAATGGAATTAAAAATGTTAAGGAATATGGATGAGGATTGTTTTCTCCTTTGTGACATTTATGGTTTACCAGAGTGTACAAATTACTACAGAAGGTGGCCTTGTTCCCCAGATTCTTGCCCAGTGCCCTGGCTGGCAGTCTGTCTTTGAAGCTCGGTTTAGCATTCAGAGAGAAGCTGTTGTTACACCAGCCAGTCAGTAGCTGTGGAGTTTACCACTGAGCCTGCTCTAGCCGAGGGACTGCTTTGCTGAATCTGACCCTAGTTGTTTTAGGCTGCTGCTGGGAGTTTGCTGTTTTGAAGGGTAGACACTTAACTGGCACAACATTTCAGCTTCTCTTCTATTCTGTGAAATTCCTGCTTCAGTAAATTACAGGTCAAGCTAGCCAGACACGTGGCTGAGCAAATGGCCCGTCCCTGGGAACAGGCAGCAAGGACTGTGGCATGCAAACCAGCTTCTCTGCTGGGGTGGTCCCACAAACGGGGCTGAATCAGCAGCAGATGGCAGGTCTTCCACTGATGATGCTCTCCCTCTCTTTCTCTTTTGCCTCACCCCCAATTTTCACATTAGGAATCTTGACTTTGAAGGAGAGGAGTGAGAGTGTGACTCAAGGATGTGCCAACACAGACACGGGGAGAAACTGTTTGTTATTTTTGTGAGCTGGACGAGTCCCATTAAAGCCATGCAGATGTTTTCAGTTATCCTTGGTGTGCTTCAGGCATTAATTATCTCTAGACCAGCAAACTGAGGTGCACATCACAGTCAATGGGAGTTTGATGGTGTTAAGCCTCCATGTATATGTGTGTGTGTTGTTGCAGTTTTGTAGTGGTAGAGGGACTGCTACCGCTTTATCATTCAGTGCTATTTTTTTAGTATCTAATTCCTCCTCTCCTTTCTCTTTTTTCCCAATATAAACTCAACAACCTGATCTAGTTGAAGATGTCCCTGCCCATGGCAGGGGCTAGGACTAGATGACCTTTAGAGGTCCCTTCCAACCCAAACTATTCTATGATTCTATATACAGTCACAGGGTAATGGACAGACTGTGTTCTGCACAGGTACTGGAGGTAAATCCTTTTTCTGAGCTAGTATAAGCTGGGAGCATGATGGATCTGCCATGGGATGATTGTTTTCATCTTGCTCAGAGGATGTTTGTTGTGCCAGATTCATCTTACACTCTCCACACACAAATTCACTGCTTTATTTTAAGGGAAAAAAGTGTCATAGACTCTAAGTAGCCTAAAAAATAAAAATTGTAATAGTTATTTACTGAATAGCAGCCCTGCGCATAGTGTTTCCTGTAGAATTTAATGACTCTTTCATTTTAGGCTGGGATAATCCCTTTTTCCTATGTTGAATTCTCTGCTGAGAGCTTCAGAGATAGTGGTTGACTCAATAGCACTGAATTTGAAGATGCAGGAAGAGGGTTGTTCGAGAATGGGAAAAGGAAGTCTCTTCCTTGGAAAGGACAGAGGACTTGGCAGAGCAAGATGACTGGAGTGGCGGTGTGGAAGGCTAATGAGCATTTCAGCTCAGCTGACAATCATGGAAGGTTGTATCTGGTTAATGAAGCATAGGAGAACATAAAACTTCAAAAGTATTACCTGCTAGGAAGACATAGATAATCTATCTTGATTTTGGAGCTATTCTAAACAATTGTAATATGCCTGCATAGGTTTCTCTCTTATTTATTTATTTTTATTAGAAGTGACTGGGAAGCTACAGAAAGGCAGGGACTATAACCTAAACCATGAGAACTGAGCAAGAGCTAATTGTATGGCGTAGGAAGGCATGCTAAAGGAATAGGAGATGTGTCACTTCTTAGAACTCGGAGGGAAATCCCTGTTATACTGAATGGGCAACAAGACATCTCCAGTTGTTAATCATAATTTCAGTTATCCTGTGTTTTTAGAAGTTGAAAAATCTTCCAAGTTAAAATTACCAAAATCTTTATGTAAGTGATTGTAAAGGAATTGTCATAGATGGTCTTGTTCTTGCTGATATACTTGCTGGCATGTATAATTGATCGAAAGTCAAAAGACACTAGGTAACAAGATGCTCTGAAAAGTCAAACTTTTTCCTATCAGATATCAGTGACTCCAAAGGCGTCAGCAAAAACATAAGGCAAGTCAAAATAATTTCAGATTATCTTTTATGGGAGCTAGAATTCTGAAGGCAGAAAATTATCTATGGTCCACGTGGCAAAAAAGTGAGCTAGAAATTATATATCCAAGTTGGATGTTTGCTGAAAGAGCTTGAAAGAGGTTTATTTGGGAGTAATGATACTTTAGTCATACTTGTGATTGAAGGACCTTACTTGTGAATGGGAGGATCTCTCGTTTGAAAATCTGTGAAGCTAATGTCGCGGAGGCTCACAGAATCAAATTAGGCAGGTGATAGTTTCAAAAATAAACTTTATTTAAACCAGAATTGTTTAGCAGAAAACTAACTAGAAATGAGGCTTCAGCACTCTGATAACATCAGTAAACCACAGGTTCAGGATGGTGTACAAGGAATTAATACTGCACAGCCAGCTTTAGAAATGAGGATCCAAAATGTGCGCAGTCACTCACCTATGAGATGAGGGCTCTCAACCTTGAGGAGTTTCCTTGTGCGGCATCCCGACCCAAGGGGAGAGTCCCCGACTGCAGACCTGCTGCTCCGAGGAGGACCGACTCCACTTGCCCTCTGGTGGGGCTCCATTTATACCCTAGTGGAGTCTGATCTGTGGTCAGCTCTAATCGGCTGAGGGCCTTGACTTTCTCACCCCTCGCCCGAGGTGTATCCGTGACGATACTCACTGCCCCAAGGTGTGTATGTGACGGTCAGCACTCGCCACCGTACAGGCACGAAAGTAAGGGCGTGAAAAGTGAGGACGCAGCAGTCTTAATGTCCCTGGTCTTTATTAGGGCAGGTGTACCTGCCACAGCTAAAACCTGCTTTTCTACCATAGCACTGAGAGTGAATCTTGTCTGTAATGCTCCTCAACTTTGCAAAAGAGTAAATTTACTTTAAGAATAAATATGTGTGAGCCTACTTATTTACAGTTAATGCTTTAATATAGAAAGAGCAACTTCTTCACCAAGAGTTTAGGTTTGGGAAGCTAGGTGGCCTGGTAATCTAAATCTTTGTTAGTACGTGCATTTGTTTTGAGTGTTAGACTGATCTAGACTGCTTTTTTTGTCCATGTGGTAAGTGATTTTTACCAAAATGTCACCTTTTGCATTGCAGTAATGGGGCAATTATTCCACCTGCTCCAGTGTTGACATTCCCTGAATCTTTCTCTTGTCTGCTTTGCAAAGGTCAATGCACTGGCACCAAACAGTCTGGTCAGTCTGCCGCTCCTGGCTGGCAAAAAAATGTCCTGCTGAGCACCTGCTAAAATCATCCAATCTGAAGCATGCTGGAACTTTATTCAGATAAAAACAAATGTCCCAGTAGCTATGTTTCTGATCTCTGCAGACAGTTCTCTACTGACTTCACTAGATATCAGGAGCAAAACTTCCTTAAGGATTTATTCAGCTGTTGGTTCAGTAGCAAAAGAAGGAGAAGGGTCTAGGCTAGTGCCTAGATGTATACATCTCACCATTTTTCTTGAATTTGAAATAATGTTGCTCACTGTTAGTGTTGCCACCATTAGCTTCTGACTGTGGGTATACAGTTCAATTAAAGCAACACAAAGCCAGTTTACCAGGTAGAGTCAGTTTCCTACTGAAAACTTTCGAAACAGACAGAGAATGACAATAAGTGCTCACATTTAAAGGAATATGTCAATTTGTTTGTGAGACTGGGGCCACAACTTTAAAACCACATTGTGTTCTGTGTCAGACTGCAGAGAAGTTTTACCTTCTTACTGGATAGCAGCTTTTTTCAGTGTATTTCCTCCTTGTCCCCTTCCCCCCCGCCCTTTTTTTTTTTGGCAAGAAAATTGATCATCTGCTCTTCACCTACTAGTTCTCCTCTTGCTGAACCTGGTGCTGTGTGTATCATGATGATGAACCATAAATTATTAAAAAACAAACAAACAAACAAAAAAAAACCCAAAAAAACCCACAACTAGAAACAAAAAAACCCACACCAAACCCATGCCAAAATTGCTTCTACTTCTTGCACTCTCTGTTTTTAATTGTGACTTCTGGAGGTTTTGGGAAGTGCATGTTTCCTGTCTACAAATGGTGACTTTGGAACTTACTGTGTCTTTGCTTCAGGGACGCTATCTACTAGATTGGAGAACAGGATATGGAGACTGATGTCCTGGGAGAAACTGGTGGTGGGGTGATGTCTACAAACATGCTCGGGACAGGCAATAAGAGTTATAAAGCAAGAAAGTAGAATAGGGTGTGGGGCAGGGAATTCTGTGCAAAGAAGGCGAGAAAGATAAATACGGACATTCACTTTGCTCCGTCTGTGTCAGAGGTACTCTGGGAAGGTTATGTTGGATGAACATTAAGTTTTGTTAGGGCAAATTCTTTTTTTTTTTTTTTAAACCAAAAGTTGTTCTACACATAAGTAAATTTAGCGATTTCAGCCTTTCTATGAAGTTTGAAAAACATTCTACACACACAGAATATTTCCCACTTCTTTCTAAATTTAGGGATCCTTGATACTTTATCTTGAGCTGTATTTAAAAACTAAAAGTAAGGGGAGGGTGGGGAGGCTGTGTGGAAGAGTAACTGTATTTTCAGGTGTACAGAATGATCTAAGGGCTTAATTTCAAGAAGGAATGTTTAGTCATATATGTAACCCTATTGACAGGCCTTGTATCAAAGAAAAAACAAAAACCAAAAAGCTGCTTGTGTTATTAAGATGCTTTTAGGGTGTGCACATAAAAGCAACATTATTCTCAACAGCCATTACATGTAGCCCAAACTCCTTGGCTTTCTGATTAGTAACACCAAATGTGCTGGAGAGCCATGCTTAAATACAGTTGACTCAGTGATTTCTGGGTAGGTTCGGGAACCAGTGGGTTGTATGTATTCAGATTAAGATAAATAAATCCAGATCAAAGAACTTTTATTGGGCCTGGTTGAAAAGGGTGCGCATATATATATAGCAGTGTGGACTGGGTTAAGCCACTGAAGGCTTCTTAAACTCTTGTAGTTTGACAGGGAAGTTCTATTATGATACAAAGGAAATGCCATGCTATTTGTTATTGGTATTTGTGTTCTGTTTTCAGGTTACTTCTTTTATTCATACAAATTTATTTTATCTTTTGTAGGAAAGAATTAATACTGTCTGGCACTTTAAATCCACTTAAAGATTTGCATCTTGGAAAACTGGCGTTAACCAAGTTTCCAAAGAGTCCAGAAACATGGATTCATAGGTTTGTTTCCCTTCTGTTGCCTCCTCGAACATAAACCTTTTTCCTAGGTTTTTTTTTTCCTGTGCTTAAGTTAAGGAGAGCCATAGATGAAGGAGGATATCTAGAAATATAGCAGATTCTTTGAGCCAGTCATTGTCAAATACTGTGCTTTGGCTTTTGAAGATACCTGCCTGTATTTTACACTTAGAACTAAAATCATGTGCACCTTCTTTTGCTGCATATTTTTTTAATAAACTTTGGAGGTGGGATAAATTTTCTTAAAGGTATATCATGTCTTGCAGCACCTAAAATTCTCGGCCTGAGAATTCTGATTCCATCAATAGTACATATTTGAGCATTGTGGGTTTCTCCCTCTTTCCAAAAAAAACAACTTACTACTATGTTGCTTGTCTAGGCATTTCAGAAAGACAAGAATCTGTAAGACCTAATCTTTATAACTGAAGTTGGGTTCTTTTCCATTCCCATACCGGTCTTTTTGGTTTGGTGAATTTACTTTTATAATTTCTAACTTAAGCAATGTCATTAAGTCACCACTACTAAGTATTAAAATAACAGAGCACATTTTTGGAAAAGATAACTCCAGAATTATTCAAACACACAAAGCTAACCATCTCAGTCATGACTGAGTGTACATAAAATGCCTGTAGCACAGTCAAGTGAAGTATAGATCCATTGCTCAACTTTGGTTAAAAAAAAAAAAAAAAAGAAAAAATCTTGGGGCGTGTGGTTTTTTTTCATGATGTATTTTCACAGGATACTCATCCTTTTATCTCTTTAAGCCTTAAAGAGATTTGAATGTAACACATTAGAAAGCAGTTAGCAATGTTTGCATTTCACATGTTCAGCTTTAGAACAACTGTAAAGTTGATGCCCCGTTACTTGTACTCTATCAAAAACATAAATAAAGCTTCAGTTGTACTGATAACATATGAATTTTTGGAAGAGGGAGTTGTTGGTAAACTCTCCTTTGTGAGTGCATGAGCTTAAAATTCTCGAAGTTAACCTAGAATGTAATACATTTAATATTCCTAGGTATTTCTTAACTTATAAACATCTACTTAATTTCTGTTAATTTCTTTCTTAGTAGCATTGATATAGCAACAACACTGATGAATTTCTGCAACTTTGGTTTTTAATTTGGTTGTTCTTCAACTGCTTTTCATCATCTCCATGCCACTGACTCATGCTACTTGATTGCTTTGCTTGAAGCAAAAGAAGTATGTAGAAATAATGGGGAAAAATCTTGCCATTTGTCATGGTTTAACCTTTCCTACATGGTAGCTAACACTGGAAAAACTATGATTCTTTGCATGTAACTAGTGCTGCACCTGGTGCCATCCATATCATTATGATGATCAGTACATTTTTATGAAATTAGCTAGAATGGTAGGTTCTTAATATTTATTTACATCTTAGACAACATTTTTTATTATTTCTATAACTTGATCTTGTGCGTATACTGTCAGTATATCTATTGATGGCACAATTGTTACTGAATAATCCTGTGTTCCTTTGCGGTAATTCCAGGAACTGTAATAGTAATAGGAACACGCATACAGTGACAGAATAAATTGGATTTCTTTTCTCCAAATTTATTGGAGAAAATGTTCTCTTAAAAACCTCCAAAATAATACTGTGATATTCAACAGGTACCAAAAATACATTTTAAATCTTCTGAGGTTGTGCTTGTCTTTCTTTCCTCACATGCAAAAAGTCTAGAAAGTAGCTCAGATTTAATTTTATAATTTTTTTCTTCTGTTGTAGCCACAGAGACTATAAAGTCTGTCTCTTTTCACATGCTCCTGTATATATAATTTATCTGAATTCCTTATTTTATAAAAAAATCCTCATTTCAAGAAACTGAAATAATTTTAGGGTCAAAATAATTTGTCTTTTTATGGTTTTACTCAGAAGTCAATGTTAATGAAATAATATTTATCTTTGGTTAAAGAATGAGTCTCTACTCATTTAGCTTTAATGCCTAGACTTCTTTAGAATTTCCCATTTCTTGCAAATCTGCTCATTGAAGTGAAAAAATACTAGATGGTGATGTTTGGATCAAAGACATTTTTTAAAAAGCAAAAATTAAGTCTTCAAAATTACTACATTTCATAAAATAAAGTTACACAACAGTCAAAGAGCATGGTTTGTTTTGCTATAAATCTTTAGTTAAAACAAATGTTATATAGGAAACCAGTGTATGAACACTGGCTTCAATCCACTGCTTGTGATTTCTGCTGAGAAACGCAGTCAGTTTAAAAATTGCATTCTTATAAATTATCTTTAATATTGTCCTCCAATACTTTAAATTTTTTCTTAAAAATAACTTAAGAGAAAAAGACACAGTGTAAATAAAAAATACCAGTGAACAAGGATATTATAAATGCTTTCAAATGAGAGAAAAAGCAGATGAATTACCAATTTTTTTTTAACAGTGATTGGCTTATCTATTTTTTTTAATATAGATATACAATTTTATATATGAATTGCAAAATAGAATTCTCTTTCTAAAGAAAATTAATTTATTATTTTTATTTTTTTAATTGAATTATTTTAACCAGGAGTGACACCTTTCTGAAAGTAGCAATTCCAAAAGTGGTTTTGGAACCAATGTGAGCCAGTACAAAACAGAAGAACCTCTGTGTCTCAGACCGGAGGATGTCCAGTTTCCCAGAGCATTCCACATGGGTCCATTGCAGGTCTCTTGACACATGCTGCTGTGTGGAAGTCTACACATCTGTGATCCCTTTTTGTAGGACCCTTTTGTGTAGGGTCTGCAGACGCATATTTTCTGCAGGATTGAGGACACCTCTCAGAATACTCATCTAAAAATAATACTAAAAGTCAGTCCAAAGTAAAATTAACAAAGTCATGTAGGAATCTGTGATTATCTCAGTTACTTCAAATCAAATATGTATAATTCAGCAGTAAAAACATCTGTTTTAGTTATACCTATCGCCCTTGAAACTGTAAGTCTTTTGCACCTTCTTTCTGCTGGTGATGTACAGAAACTAATTTGGCTTGTAGTGTGCAGTACTGACAAATGTAAGAAATACTCACAAAGCATGGTTAATTTTTTTTTTTAACTTAATCACTTTTTTCTGTCTCATTTTGGATATTTTATTTTAGTGCTGTACAAGTCTCTGAAAGAGGAGCTCATTAGAAATCTCATGCAGACAGTTCTTACACTTTTTTTCATAAATTTGCTCTTTCCTTCTGTTTTCTTTTAGTATGCTGTAAGTAGCCATGACCACTTACAGTGAGCAAACAAACAAATACAGCTAGAGTTAAATTATTTTGGAGTGTGATCATAAAGTCATAGCTTTCAGTATGGGAAGAGTTCAGATGGTTATGTTTGCTACTTACTCATCATCTAGTTACAGTGTAGTTCAGATAATTGAAAGACCAGAAAGGTTTGATTGATCTATATAAATGAAAAAGCATTTTTTTTTCTCTTAAAATTGCTCTCTCACCATTAACACTGTACATCGTTTAACCAGACGATGGGTGCTGCAACAACTAATTCAGGAAAACTCCTTGCCCAGCCTTGTGACTAAAGGAAACTTGGGAGCAGCACCTGTGGAAAGAATTCACCGACTAGTGCAGGAGGAAATGAATGTCTGCTCTGAAGCTGCTGGGAGATATCCAAGCAACTACAATGCCTGGTCCCATCGCATCTGGGTTTTACAGCATTTGGGAAAGCTGACTGTCAAGGTATAATACAGTAGTGAATAAAGTCTTAAATTTCCTTGTCTGAAAAAAAAAAAAACCTAAACTGGTTTGCCAAGCAGATCCTACAACATGGATGGAGAGTATCATATTAAGTTAGCACAGGTAACTAAAAATGTTTTACAAAAACAGGGAAAATATTGCAATGAGTATGTTTTGCATTTTGCTTGCCAGGGTAGGCAGGTTCCGCTCAGCAGAAAGAACAGATTTTTCTTGCCCATGTACGAAGTTCTGTTTGTTGGTACTTAGTGTTAATGAACTTGTGGCAGGAGGATAGATGGGACTGTGTGAGCTGAAATAAAGAAGAGGCAACTGAAAATAATTCTTCTAGCACAAATCTTGAAATTCCTGATAGAGAAGATGGTATCACATGACATATTATTTTGATAATGTAATGCAATGTCTTGTTTTGATACCCTTATTCAGCTTATCTGTGGTTTCAGAATATTGAAGGAACAAGTAAAGACAGCAGGCATTTAAGAGAATGCATAATGGTGCTTGTAACTAGTTTCTTCAGCTCCAACAGTATCTTTTGACAGCATTTAAACTGAGGGCTGATCAAGCTATTTGAGCTCCAGCAGCAACATGTTATGCAGTGGTAAATATTTCGGATCGCATGGTAGTATCTAAAACACTGAGACTTGCAGCAAATTGAATTAGTTAATGTGACATGGTCTAAAATTATATAGTTTTGTAATACTGTGGTTTCTAAGCTGTTAGGTGAATTCCTTGTGAATATTAGGCTGATACAGTGACACATCACTCACACTTCTAATGGCAGCCGTTGCATTTTGCCATCCTGTAAATACATAGGGGAGTGAGGGACGAATTCAGCAGAGGTTGTTGAGTTGGTATAGCTGTTATTTTTATGTCTTATGGGCCAGCTACTGCTAGCAATGGATGTTGTTTTGCTGATGTTTCCTGTTAATTGTCACCTCAGAAACTTTAAAAATAGTTGTATCAGATTGGTAGTAAATAGCAAGTATGTTCCAGACTCCATAAGGGAGACAGCCCAGAATTTGGACTCATCTGCCTAGCAAGTTTGTATGTAAAGGTAGTTATGGAAAACTCGAAGAATTACAGGATTGGGATAGATTGGAGGTTAGAAGTTAGGGTTAAAGGTCTATATTAACAGGAAACAGGGACTTTCACCTAAATCTTTAATAGCTTTCTTAAAAAGAGGGGGGGGAAGTTAGCATTGTTAATTAAAACTCAAGTCATTTTATGCTTTATTTAACAGTAGTTTGAAGATCAGGGTAACACACTGAGTGCTTTTTGCACTTGCTATTCCTTACTAATTTAAATAAACAGAAAGAATTGTGTTGTGATAGAAATAATTTCTCAGAGCCAGAATTAGTCTGGTGGGTTTATTCATTGGCAGTTGTCAATGCTTTGTGTGACAGGTCACAAGCATGCCTGTGAAGGAAGTGTTTTAAATTTGTTCAATCGCTCCCAAGTCCATTTGCCTTGCCTGCCATCCCAGTTCCCCTACTGGTCTTCTTTTTAGGCTGATTACTAAGGAAGTGATAGTCTTCTCTAGTTTTGTCCAACTGGCTTTCGTTACCTCTGGCAAAATTTCAGTGATGCTGATGTTCCTCGAGCAGTGTGTTTAACCCATTGGGAAATCTCCATGTTGACTCTAGGTTTTTTTTCATGACACCACCAATGCATCTCTTCAGATGGCCTAGCAGAAGGTGTTTGGGATGCAGGAAAATTAGGAAAAAGTGTGGAGCATAAAAGATATCGAGAATCTTGAGATAAAATTTATGTCTAGGTAACTTTAGGCAGAATTAGAAAGTGATTATTCGCAAGATGTGGTGCGAGGAAAAAAGCCAATACGGAAGAGGACAGGGAAAAAGCAGGCATTACAGATTTTCACAGAAATATACAGGTTGTTTTCTTGCTTGATGTCTCGTTTTGTACCTTCAGCCATTTGTGTGTTTGAATATCTGAAAAGAATGGTAAATTTCACTGAGATGTAACATGGGAACTGTGCTGAAAAAATAAGCAGATAAAACAGTCACTGTGATTCTACAGCCATTTAGTTTTTGCAAGGTTGCCTCAAATTAGAGTACCTTGTATTATTTAGGGCCACATTTCTGCTATAATACAAATTTTGCCCGTAGTTTGAGGTAATTTTTATTATGCTGTACAAGGAAACAGAGGCCTAGAAACATAATCTGTATGTTGTATTACCATTGAAATAAGACTTCTCAAAACAGGTTTCTCATTTATGAAACTGTTGGCCTGCTTTGGAGGATTTGAGAGGGTAGGTTGTTTGGTAGGGTTTGGGGTTTTTTCCTTTAGTTTGGTAATCCTAATGCTTCTGCAGACTGAATCTCAGTTCAAACTCTGGGAAAAAGATATAAAAAACTAGAGGAGAACATTTTGGCCCTGCAGGACGGTTTTCTCACAGAATAGAGATGTTTCTTCTTTCTTATACTAGACAGTAAAAAACATTATCTTGTTCAAATATAGAAATCTCAATTTGTTTTTCCTGCAGAATTTGAACAACATTAGCAAGATTACGTAGTGTTTGAATAGTGTTCATAATATCAGTTAAGGATTTGTCAAAAATAGATTGTTCCAAACCAATCTAATCTTTCTGGTATTGGAGTACTTGCCTCGGAAAGGACAAGAAAGCTTGACTTCAGCTTTCTCACTTGACAGTACAGTTAGCTAATGGGGGGAAAAACATGGGCTCCAGACACCTACTGATAAGTGAGTGCGTAATTAGTTGGAGAACCAGAGTAAGAGAGTAATACAGTATAGTCTGTTAAAATTTATACACATTATGATGCTTTAGATAAATTGCACAGGTACAAAAATAGGATGTAGCTCAGCAAGGATGGACAACCTTTTTTGTTTTCTTTAGATAGGAATACTCAGCTTCCTAATTACAGGATGAAGAGTGACTGATAAGGCCCTATAATAAAAAAACAAGCAAAGAAACAAGCGGTGGAATGATTGTCATGAGGCTAAACCTCTCTTGTGTGATGTCCAGAAGACAGAAGTATGTTCATAAGACACAAAGTAATTTTTCCTGTAGACATCCCCAGTAAAGCCTTGGCTTTGACTTAGATGACTGGACCTCCAAAGGTACCTGTCTTTTGTGTGAGTGGACATTGCTATATTTATCTCGTCATCCTTAAAAGTTTTTTCCCCAGATACAGTTCCTTTTCATTCCCCCAGTGTCCCAGTCCAGGGAGGAAGTTTTGGGCTGCAGTTTATGGTGAGTAAGTACTAAAGCAAGCACAGGGTCAGGGAGGGTGTCAGAGGGAGTGCAGAGCCAGAGGTTGAGGCAAAGGTCACCGAGGGCATACGTCCGATTCTGGAGCAGGATGCCAGTTCCGTGGTACTCAGCTCACAATCGAAGGTAGAAGAGGGCCCTTTGTGAGAGGTTGTCAAGAGTGGGGAGGGAGGCATTTTCTTATCATTTCCTGTTTGCTTCACAGAAGAATGGCAAAGGTCTTGTGCTGTTCCGTGTGGAAATGGAGAAAACTGGCTTAGTAAGAAAGAACCTCTGTTGGAATTCAGATGTTAGCTGACTCTTTGTTTTACCTCCAGTTGTTTGAAGCGTCTTCCACTGTTACTCTGAGGTTCCTAGAGGAGAGGCTTTGGTTTTTATAGATCTCAAGAAGTTTAATGGCAGTCTTCTGTCTTGCTTTTCTAAAAGAGGTTTTCTAGTTCAGGTAAGGAGTGATGCTGGGAATCGTTCTCTTTGCTTTGTGCAGGGAGATAAAATGCATAATTACAGTGTTCCCCTGTAACTTTGTAGCTTATAAACATGACAGGTAAATGAATCAGATTATTTTGAGATCTAAGTTGGACATAATGTGCGTAATGTTAGTTCCAGCTGAATAAAGACTGGTCTGATTTTTCTGATGTTGCCCTTGAGCCTTATGTTGGTTTTAATAGGCTTTTAAATTTTAATGTTCAGAAATTTAAACTAGTAAGCTCAATTCTGCTGAGAAGAGAGAAGCTGATCTTGTGGTTTAAAGTGCAGAACTGGAGATGGGGAGTTTCAGCCCCCTTAAGAATCCTGTATGTGGGCTGTTATTTAATAGTGCCCTTCAGTTTGCTGATCTGTAAAAGGAAGACAATGCTGGTGTCTCTTGTCAAGACCTAAAAAAGCATGTTGAGTATCTCAGGTAGAAGGTGCTATTTACGTTGTTTGTATTTGCTCTAGTATCTTTTAGAACAGATGCATCACAAAAAGAGTGTATAACTAGCCTTGCACATTTCCATGATTTTCTTTGTGGAAGGCTGTGCCTCTTGGTGCTGCAGGAGAAAGAAGAAAGACTTTTGCCTATGAAAGTTGCTTTGCATCAGCCAGTCCTGTTAAGTGACATAGGTAGCTTAGAAAAAGAGATTAAAAGCAAGAATATACCAGTAAGCTTTTATCCAAAGTCTTTAGAAGTAAATGAAAAAGGTAGTTTGGATCTCTTCGGAGAGTTCAAACTCCAGAGGAGGACCAATGTGAGGAAAGAGGTTAAAGCCTTGAAAGAAATTCAACCATTAGTTCTAATAGAGAATGTAAAGTAAAAGAAGCTTTGCCCAGTAGCCAAACTCACCATCTTCCTAGGAATAAATTTTGAAGGCTTAAAAACATTCAGAATTAAGGGAAAACTTGTAGGTGCCAGCAGTGTTACAAATACAGCTGCAGTCACCATTGTCAGTATTTACCACAGTTACTGTGAAAGCCTTTCTGGGAGTTCACCAATTACCAAGTCAAGCAACTTCATTATGGACAAATAGTTTTGTATTCCACAGGTTCTAAGACTTGGAACATAATCTTAGTGGTTGACATTCTTTCCTGGAAAATGAAAGTGTAAATTACTTTTTTTTTTTAAAGCAACTCACCCACCCTCTGACACCCATAATGCACTAGGCAAAAACTAAAATACTTCTAACTAATATCCATGTAGTTTGGTGTACCCTCTGCCTCCTCTAAATAGTCTTTATTCCTAACTATTCTGAGATTCTTAAACCACTGCTTATTTCTCATCATAAGTGGTTTGTGTTTTTTTTTTCCCCTCACCCTATGGGAAGGTTTCTGAGACACCTACCTTTTCAGAGTTTGGAAGAAGTATAATTCCCTTTGTGCAGGGATGCCAAGATACTTGTCAGCACACAGTGGAAAAGGCTCAGTGATTATTTCATTTTTCTGTGTGCATTCTTAAACCATTACCACAGTGTGGTAATGGCTGAAATCCCCAGAGGAGAGGTTACCTTAATACAGAAACTATGGTGGTAAATTCCTCCTTTATACTGGTTGATAACTGTTGCTGCTTTTTGTTTCAGGTTCTCCTTGATGAACTGTCATCCACTAAATATTGGGTATCCATGCATGTCTCAGACCATAGTGGATTTCATTACCGCCAGTTCTTACTCAAGTCCTTGATAGGCAGAACTGTGACTGACAATAATGTACTGGTACAAAATCAAATGGTAAATGAGCAAAACCCTAGCCTTCAAAAGGAGGAGAGTGCAGGGGCAGAAGCTGCCTGTGTGGAGGAGCAGAGCGTGGATCTCCCCCGCCGTTTAGAGGAAGAGTTGGAGCTCTGCACTGAACTGATTGACACTTACCCAGGGCATGAAACATTGTGGTGTCATAGGTAAGAGGACTTGGTCAAAAGTGTCCTTCTGATTTATGGATTGTTCTCTGCCTGATGTTTCCAGACAAATGGTTGTTCTGATTTTAAAAGGTACCACTCAATAAAAGATTTCTAAGCTACTAAGTTTCTAAGCCTTTGGAAACATTCAAGAGCACTATCAGAGCTGTTGAATGGAAAATTTGATTGGCCTTAAGTATCTTGTTGATGTAAGCTCCACTTGTCCCTATAGTTTGTGCAAGAGACACAAGATACTGTTAATCAGCCCTCTCACACTTAAAATGTTTAAAGGGCAAAAGGTGAGCAGAAGAAGATGGATCAGCTGCAGAAAACCTTGGCTTTGCCAGCTGGGTGTATGTGCCTGACTAGCTAACAGCAGATTTACCAAAGTGACACTGAGCCCTTTTTTGTAGAGTGTCAGCAACGAGAGCAAATTTTGTCTGTTCAGGGGGGAATCTGGTGGGATGGCAAATGAGCTGAAGCAGTTCAGCAGCAGCAGCAGATTATTTTCAGTGCGTGACTTTTTTTTGTCTTCTTTTTCTTCCTTCCTTTTCCTCTAAAGAAGGCGTGTGTTCTACCTTCAGCACCACCTAAGCAACAAACTTCCTCTTCTGAGCGGAGTGGTATCATCTGTGGACAGCAGCGATGAAACTCTGAATAATTCCCACCACAGTCCTGCGACAAGTCACATGGCACAAGCTATGGATGTTGATGGTTTGAATGAATCCAGCAGCAAACAAGGTTATACCCAAGAAACAAAACGCCTGAAGCGTGCTCCTATGCAGGACTCTCTTGGTCCAGAAATGGAATACCGGTTCATTGATAAAGTATTATCAACTTGTAGGGATGTGGACCAAGCCAGGTTTGCTACTGCTTATAGGAAATGGTTACTTACTTTTTTAGGTCAGTGAAGGAAGAGTTTAAAGCCTTCAGGGTTCTTCTTTTAGTGCAATATTCTCTTTTCAGACACAGATGCATGTCTTGTTTGCAAGTGTTAGCTAACCATGTGTTTCTCACTCTTTTAATGGTCAGTCCTAAAGCTCATATTCAGAGTAGAAGTCTGTCACTTTATTTATTAAAGAACTGGCATAGCTTTTTATTTTTATTAAGCAAATGCAGTTTGTTCTTTAATCTTTTTAAGAAATCACTCTGTGTCAGCTTCCTACCATGCCATTTTCTGATTTTTTTTACCTTCTGCATTAAGGTGGACTCTAAATCATTCGGCTTTAAAAAAAAAAAAAAAAGAAAAAAAAGAAAAAGTCTGAAATGCTTTTGAAAAGAGTGTCTGGAAGAAGAATAGGAGGATCTGTCAGTATCAGCTAAACCTGTTTCCAGGTTGTTCCTCTTTACTGTAGTGGCATCCTGCTAATACCTTACTGGATTGAGACTATATTCGGTGAGTGCTATTACTTTTGTATTAGCAACCTTTGGTAGAACACCAGACTGCAGTGTTTCTTTCTCGAGGCTCCAAGTAACAGTATTGGAGCCATGCCTTTTACTGTTGTAACTGGGTTTTTGTTTGCGTATTAGTTGTCACATGAGTTTGATAGGAAAGTCTATGAAGTTGAAATCCTGAAAAGAAGATACAGGAAAATGTGACAGAAAATAGTTCACACACACACGTTCACACTCACGCTCACAGTCAGAGCTATATTTGGAAATACTTTTCTTTGAACAGACTACTTTACCTTCATTTCCTACTTGGTATTTATTTATTTATTTTATCTCAACAATCCAGAATTAATGACACTTGATACACATTTCTGAATGTATTGTGTACACTACAGAATCTCAGCCTGATAAATCACACATTGGTAACTTGTACTTAACCAAGACCATGGAAATCCAATAGATGATGGAGTAAAAAGTAATTCTTCTGACTGGTCATTGAGACTATACAATTAAAAAAAAAAAAAAAGACAGCAGGAGGGAGCTATCCCTTCACTTTTGTTCTTTTGTAGAGCTTCAGTCTCTGGGGTTTTTTTCTTTTGACTCTTCATTAAGAGCACTTCTCCAACCATACATCTCTGTTTACATAACTGTAAATTTTAAGGGAATTTGAAATGCATTTCTAGTCCAGTGAAATTAAACATGAGTGGTTTATTTTGTCATTTCCTTAGAACTTGTCTATATAAGGGATTTTTTACACTAACAGAATTGTGCTGGTCCAAAGACCCAGGGGAGAAAACATTGTATAACTGTAGAAGTTTGTACAATGGCAACATTGCCTCTGTTCCAAACAGACTATTCACTGAGGGGATAAGATTTTCAAGCTAGAATCTTCGCCAAAATTGCTGTATATTTCTCCTGCCCAAAGTGCCTCCTGACTGTGATAAGTTTCAAGCTGCTGTTTCTGTTGGGCAGAGAGAGCAACAATGCGGGAGGAAAAAAACCAGGTAGCCTGCTCAAAAGGTATCACTTGGAAAGAAAAAAGGCACTTGAAACACGTGGAATTCCAACAGTTCTAAATAATTTGATAGATGGGGGTTACTCTTGCATTTCAAAATGAAAATAGACTACCTCTAGTCTTAGCAAGTATGTTCGTAGCTACTCTGTGCCTGAAATGAGTTAACAGAGACATTTCTAAATGTACACTCTTCTGTTTACATTACCTAGATAAGACTGACCTAGGCTTGAGCATCTCCATGGCAAAGCTTTGTCTCAGTGGGCATCCACACCTGCCTCTGTATAGCTAGGCACACATTACATGGCCATTTGTTTTGAGGTGCTCTGGAATGCTGTCTTGGTTGATGGTTTTAGTTGCAGAAGAACGTAATCTATGTGTGAAGGAGGTGTGGGAATGTCTTGAGAGGATAATGTTGTCATATGATGTTGTCTCTATGACCACTGACAAATGGGTAGGTTCAGGTACAAACTGGAGTCTGAACTTAAGAACTTGACTTGAGCAAGAACTTTTACCCATCCCAGAGGACCTGATGTTTTTTGAGTGTGAAAGATACATTAAAGCATATGTAGTAGCCTGGGTCAGCGTGATTAACAGTATCCCTTTAATGGTTAGTATGAACCTGGAAAGTGTGAAGTCAGCTGGCAATGTATTAAGGATCACATTCTTTGTCCTAGATTACTTTGACAGTAAGTAACGTAGTTGTGTGTTCTGTTTACCTTGGCAAAAATTACCTGTTTATGAGAAAAATATTAGTGGCAGGAGCAGACTGGGAAGTGGGAGCATGATAAATATTTCTTGAACCGTGGAAGGGAAGACATGCTCTCTTCTTGCACTGGAATGATTGAGAGTTTTAGAGGAAAAGATTTATATTAGAATCTGACTTGAAACCCACTATATATTTCTTCCAGACTATAATCTGGAGTCTTAGTTGGCTTTCTTAGAGCTGTATCGTGGAAGTACTGTGCTGTTGAATTTGACAATCTTTCCATCATAAACACTTAAGATCAAACAGCTGCCCTCAAACACATGTGTGCAGTTCCTATTCATGCCAGCACGAGTTATGCATGCTTGCAGGAAGACAAGATTTGGTCCTGTGTAACTGAACAGAGTTGCATTGTATTTTCATACTTGGAAAATATTCTGAGAGCTCTGATTAGAGATAGTGCTGATATTTTTACTACTTTTACAAAACACTGATGGCTGTAGTATGACTCTTAAGTGTGGGTTTTTAAAGCCTACACCTGATGGAAATGCTCCCCACCCCTTTTTTTTAATCTAGTGAGAATAGTTACATTTAGAAATGTTTGCAGACCAGACTCTGCCACACAGAAAACTAAACAATAAAAGTGAAATTGAAACAAGTCATATCTTCCCCCTTTGAAAGAAATGCGAACAATAAGCTGTCAAAATTGAGCTTTAATTTTTTCATGGTAACAATATAAATCGTATGAAAGAAGAAAATATATAACTAAATCACTTCATGCTGTCTATGTCCTGAAGCCTCTTACATGAAATGATTGAAGAGATACTTCCAACAAATTGAATTAAGCTCACAACTGTGTGATGTTCTGGAACTATGATCTTTGGAACATCCCTGTCTAACCATTCAGTATTATTGCAGAGTCCCATTTGGGCACTGCTTGAAAAAAAGAAAAGTGGCTTCAGGCCATTGGTAGTTAACATGCATAAAGGCTACCAAGTACAGCTACTTTAAGTAATGTATTTTAGTTGTTTTGTGTTTTAGAGGTCAGAGAATTATAATGTAGTCAATAAACATTCTTGCGGAGAATATGTCCAACAGAAGCTGCAGAATATAAGGCTCTCACTCTCTGAAGTTCCTTCAAATATAAAATCAAACTTGTACATCTGTAAACGTCTTCATATAAAATTGAGAATCTTTACTGATTTTATCTTCTGCTGTAGTATGTGTCATTTGAATTGACGCAGATTCTTTTTGTTCACTGGATTAGTCTTTGTAGAAATTACTTTGTGCTAGAAACAAAGGGTTTTGAGGAACAAATGTAATTTGAAACTACAGAAATTAGAATAGAAGGAATCACATTTTTAAGGGGTCGAATTCTCTGCTGCTAAACACATTAACTGTTATTTCATTGGCATTTGGTTTATCTTGTATGTTAGTCACTGGAGCAACACATGCAGCATTAAAGATAGCTACAATAACAAACTTGTATAAAGTTATTATTGGAACGCATTGCCATAGCTGCTCTGGTTAATAATTGTTAATCTACTCATGCCTGCAAATTAGTGTTTTGTTGACTTCTTGCATATTCTTTATATAATCAAATCCTTGTGTCATTTAAATAGGGGGGAAAGTAAATTGTCAGTTTATACTGTTTGATTAATTACCTTATATAGAACTCGTTTTAAGACAAATAAGCAAAGTGGTAATACAGTGAGAAAGCTTAGATTCTGTCTTATAATCAAAATTTCTGGCATTTCCATTTTTGTGTTAGTGCTGCTTGATTAGAATGTGTAGCTAGTCTTTATGGACAGGGGTGAGTTTTTTCCTAAGTAGATAATTAATGAATTTTTAAAACAGTACTGTATAATATTGATGAGCAGAAACGAAGCGTTTTAGAAAGGCTTGTCTGCATAGCCAGACTCAACAAGCATACTTTTTCAGAATAACATGTAATACAATGAACAAAACGTGACTACCAGAGAAAAATTTAAGTGGTGAGTCTTCAGAGACTTGATGATTGAATTTTTGGACAAGGTCGTTCGCTTAGTTTTGTTTTGCCTTCTGTGAGGGAAGAATGTTCCTTAATTTTTTTAATTTTGTACGAAGTGAACCGTTGCACTTACATTGTGGGGAAAAACCCCCACAACTCCTGAGTTGTATCTTCTAGAGCAATTCTGGAAAAAGAAGCCGTGAAGTGAAATGTAGATGTGACTTTTAAATGCATGTTTGTGCTGTACTCACTTTACAATTAGAGGTCTTTACAATTAGATCTTACTGTTTTATTGACATCAGATACAAAGGAAAGAGGGTAACTCACCTATTCTCAAATGCACTTGACATTCAAGTTAGTTTCAAAGGAAGTTCAGTGTCCCTGTCTAAGATAATTTTCCTTCTTTTTTTCCCATGTGCTCAGAGGTGTGTTTCCTTCCCAACCTCTTCTCTGTTCTTCCAACCAGCAAAGAAGAATGTAGCAAAGCATTGGTGAGGTGGCCTCATTTCGTGTTTAGGTAACTGACTACCTCCCAAAAAGTGCTCTGATCGATGTCCTTAAGTGGAGTTCATCAGGCTCAGTTTTTTTGGAACCTCATACTAGGCCTACATCCTCTTTCAGAGGTGAAAAGCAAGAGCTTTATCTATGAAGCCATCTAGTTTACCCAGGAGAGTTTAAAGGAGAAAAGAAGAAAAAAAAAACAAAACCAAACTTGTAGTTAAAGTTGGGAAAACTAGAATTAGCATAAACTTTCCGTAGTCTTTTCCTCTGAAGAAGCAATGTATTGCTGAAAAATGGAGGAAATATGTGCTTCCAAGAAATTCCTTGTAGACAGTTCATGCTTTTGAATTATAGACCTGACACTTTGTATAGTGGCTTTTACTTAGCGTGTAATGTTACTTCTCAGGGCATAGTCTATTGTAGTGAACTAGGGTACGTTTTTACAGTTTATAATTACTGATAAAAAAAAAAGCATAAATGCTAAACGTGTAATAACTGGCTTTTAAATTTTTTTGTCTAGCATAGTGTTTTATATCTACCCGCAAGCTAATACTGTACCTAATGATGCACACTAGACCTTACCATCTCATCTGCATCATACTCTTATTCTATATCTTAAATTGATGTTGCAGTCTTGCAGGAAGCTCCTGACAGTTGCTGGGTTTCTTCTGAGTTCCCTAGTACTATGCAGTAAGATATTCAGTATCTCACAAAGATGTATGTTGCAGTGATGGGGAAGCTTTTCACAGTATCTGTGTTGATGCACTATATATCTCAGATTTATTTTTTTTTAAAACTTTTGTTAGGAGTCTAAATACTAGAATTGCAAAAGCTTTTAGTTGTTGATAGCTGGCAGACGCTTACGTACAATAGAACTATTCTGAAGAGCAGAACTCTTAACTGAAGTCTAGTTTATTAAGCATCTTTATCTGCACCACCTGGAACCTGCTGTTAATCCTGCTGTATAGATGGAGGTGGGGACAACCCACAGCAAGGTGCATATTTTCTTCACGGGACGTTTTCTGAACAGAATATAATTGTGGTGAAACAAAGAGCTTTTCTTGGATGAGGTATTCCAGTACGTTCATTGTGAATAAAGTTATGAAATTGGTACGTCGTTAATACAGTAAGACTTCCTGAATGGCTGCGTAGAATAGGTAGATAAATGTTTTTTTTAACAGCGTATTCCCTGTTATTAAAAAAACACATAAATGATACAAGGTACCAGGACTTGCTTTTACAAGACAAAATACATTTATACCTACTGTGTTCATTCCCTTTTGTTCCAGTTTTTCTTTTTTGAAGTGGCTACATTTAAAAGTGGGTAGTCATCTTGAAAATTGTGCTTGGGAATGTCGCCTTTAATTTCATGTAATAGAAATAGTAGATGTCTTAAGTGGTTTTAAGTAGCATTAAGATCCAGGGTAGTGACAGCACTACAGTATTTAAGTGAGCCATTGAACACTAATTTTGTAACACTGTCATGTCCATCAAAGTACTATTCTATGTAGGGCAAAATGTTTATTTTACAAGATACGTGGAAAAAATATTTAATTCTCACAGCTTTCATATTAGGGGGAAATAGAGTTGGTTTTAAACGTAATATTTTGCAATATTTTTTCTATGAAAGATTCTCAGATACACAGTTGTGACCATTGTAAGTTTTATGTATATTTCCAATGCAGAAGAATTAGATAAATGGTAAGTTTTGTAGCGGAAAGAATAAAATGATGACAGGACAGTAAGACACTGGAAAGTAATCTAATAAATGACCAGGGTTCTACAGGATAGTGAAGTTTGTTTTTCACTGGTCTTTGTCATGGGATAAATTCCTTTCAGAGGGGGATTGTTTTCTTTTTTTTTTTGTCATCAGTAGAGAGCTTATCTGTGAATAAATTATCTATATTTATTCTCCCACAATAAGTGTGCACATATGCGTGGGTGGGTGGATGGATGGCAGAACTGTATTTATGTAATGCCCTGTGAAAAAGGCAAAATCTCCCATGTACAGCTATTTTTGTATAACACTGGTGATCTGCGAACACAAGTCTTTGTGGAAGACCTGTCCTAGCAGGAATCTAGCAGGATCATTGCCGATGTCAGGGGATTTGCTAAAAGCAGCGAGATCTCTTGCTTCCCCTTTCTGGCTTAGTCTGCCTTACTTTCATGATACTTGGGCAAATGTGTGCATACACAAACCAAATTATTAGTGATGGTGTTTATTCCAGGTGCTTGTAGGGAGTGTTTGAGGCGGTGGAGGAGTTTGTAAGGTCTTGCAGGCTGGGAAAACTGGGAAGTGCTCAGCCAGTGTCCTACCTGGGGGATACCTTTCAGGAGTCCTCCAGGAAGGAACAGACAGGCATTTTTTGGATTAAGTGCTTTAGCATCACAGGAGACTGAGAAAAGTATGTCAGACACAAACTAGTGACTGAAATTGGTATTTGAATACAAACAACAAGCAGTCTTTTTGGTACTTTATTTTCAGTATTTTTCTCGTTATTTTTATAAAAATGAATCACATTAAAAAGCATTTTCAAAGTTACCATTTTGAATGCCTTCTGATTTTGGATTATTGGATTTGAGAGCTCTCCTTAAAGGGCTCAATTTTATTGGAAAATGCTAGCAGCTTTTGTCTCTCCTCCTAGACAATGTGATTCACTCCAAATGTTCTAAAATGAGCACGTAAAATCACAGGGCATTACTGAAAATACTGCTCATCATCTTAAATACAAAACTTAGCAAGGACAGGTTCTGCTCATACAGGTGTCTTTTTTTTTTTTTTTTTTTTTAATTTTCATTCTTACTAGCTGCTAGGACAGAAGGTAGAAAGAATTTGTAGGGAAGCCCTGAGTCGATATCTACAATCTTGGTTTACTTAATTTGGGGGTTCATTAAATCAGAAAGCTTATTACGAGCAAGCAAAAACCCTCCAGGGTCGTTGTACAGAAATAATTTGCAGGACCTGGTCATTAGTTTGTTTCCGACCTGAGTGTTTGATTTTTACATCTGTTAAAATGAGAGACAAAATTCCCACTGACTTCACTGACAGAGGATCGGGCCGTGCTGCGGAGAGGATATCAGCCACTACAGGGTAGCTTTGGCATTTTTAGTGCGATGGATTGTTCAGTGACTTCTTTGTCTTTTCCAAATAGTCACATTTATTGCTTCAAGGAAGAAAGCAGTTAGGGTAGTGTATATTCATTAGCACTGTGGTGGAGGAGAAACTGTTAAGGTTGTAGAATATTACAGGTTTAAAAGGGCAGCTAGAGAGAAATATGGATAATACGGGCTATCAATAGCTAAGAAAGCTTCCTTCCCCCCCCTTCCTTACCCCCCACACCCCCCACACACTTTGTAGTGGAAAAAAGTTTCATACAATATACCTGTGTGCAAACCAGGGTAACACATTTACCTGAGTTTTATGCGAGATATTTAGGGATGAACGGTAAGCTTTTACATGCCATGTGATAATTGATACAATATTGAAGGGAGAAAGTCTTAATAAAAAGTGAATGGCTTAAGTTTTACTGTTCTCCAAGCGTGCTATATACATTTATGGTGCAACAATAAACTGCACATTTGTCACCCTGTCATCTCACAAATGCTTATAATTAGGTAACAGCTAATTTCCTTTTTAAAATGCATCTACTTAATGTTGATTTGAGATGTTCTACAATTATTTGTTGTTATCTAGTACTAGATAATTTTCTCCACACCTTTAATCCGTCTTCAGTGGAACGTAGCCAGATACAGATTTTCATGGTTATAAATCTAGTTTTGCTGTGAAGGGAAGTTGAAATTCTGCTGTATAAAACATTCAGTTTTCTGGTGTCTAGTTAGAAACATCGGAGGGCATCCTAGCACTGCTTTCCAGTTGTGCACACTGAGTTTTACCTTGTTTATCTCAAATATTTTGTATTGCATGTTAATTAAATTTTTACATATCCTAGTAGTACAAAATAAATTAAAAAAAAAAAAAAAAAGAGCACCCCTACAGTCGTAACTATTCTATGCAGATGTCTTCCAAAACTACAGGTACAATTTTAGTGGTGGTGGTTGGTAAATAGATTTTTTTTTTTCACTTATTTATCAGCAGACTTGTTTTTATATGTATTAGTAACAGAATGGACTAAGCACAGCTGTAAGTTATTGTATTTCTGTAGAAAATGGAAAATAGTGTAAAATCATTTTTGTTAAATGTTGGCAGTTTTTAAATAAACTTTTCATCTCCTAAAAACCTTTGTTTTCTGTGACAACATATTTACCCTGGACTCCAATTTCATTGTTTACCAACAGATATCCTTCCTAATTATTGCTAATCTCTTTTCAGTGATAAGCTTCTTTTAACAGGAGCTGTATCTTCTCTTGTGAATTCAGGTGATGGCAGCAGCCTTACTTTATGGTCTGTTTAAACATAGACAGTTAAGACTTTCTCAAATGCATTTCTACATCTTTTGTTCAAGCTTAGTTTATGAAAGGATGGAGATGGAACAGCAGCTCTTCGGGATAAGAAATTTCTTTCTGGCAACAGCTGGCTGTCCTGTCTAGAGTTGCAGAACTTGGACAGCTGAATGGTGCTCATGTTTCTGTAACTTCTTTATGTTTCAGCATGATGTTCAGAGACGTGCTTGCCTTTTTTAAAACCTGGAATCAACTCGAACAGCTTATGCCAGTCTTTCCAGGGTCCATACAATTTCTGTGTGTCGTAATTGAAGGGAAAACATTTCACGGATCTTAAAAGCAGGTAACTGCCCTCTTATGTTCAAAAATATACTTCGTTTGATTCATATTGAAGATAGATGTAATATAGAAGCATGGTACTTTGATCGCAGTTGATTGCCTTCAGAACATAAATTTTGCTGTATACATTTTGAGACTACCTGAAGAAGAATCCTCAGGTGACCCCTAATCTGAACTGGATGAAAAGGTGCTTGAGGTACGCTCATTGTTTCTGTAAACTTTCTAGTTATGCAAATAGATATGCATTAACACCTGGATCCACAGTTTTAGATCTGCAGTTATGCTCCTCAGGTAGCATTCTACTTCATGGTTTGTGCTTTCATTTATCAAAAATTGTTCATTGTTTATCAAAACTGACTTACGTGTTAAGATATCTTTCATAGACTTGAGTTAATGCTGCAGTAAATTTGCTTCTAGACCTTGTATATCAGGGCAATCAATATCTCTCTAAAGAGCTTTCATTCCAGGCTGTTATCCAAATAATTCTGTGGTTCACACAATTTAAATATTTAATAATTTATTGAATTATTAAATATTAATATAAAACAATATTGAATTATTAACATAATGTGTGGTTGGGCTTTTTTTTTATCTAAGCAATGGCTACATTAGGATATTTCAGTGTAACAGCATATGTAAAAGATTCTTCAAATAAAGTTACAGTTGTATATTTTGGATGTTTTACAGCGCCTGACTGGAATTGTAGGTCCAATAATTCTCA